TCAAATCCCAAATTCTAGCAAAGCTAATATCTTAAAAACTTTATTAATAATCTTTATTTAAACAAATTATATATATTTTTATAGTTATAAATAATATATTTACAAAATATTAAAATTATTTATTTAATTTAATTTTTTATAAATAGCAATTGTTTTTTTATTATTTAGAATTTGTCTAGGTTTTGCCAGCAAGTATAGCTATAGGAGATCTATAAGATTTACTTGATACGATGGTGGCATTAACAAATACAAAGTAACAATCAGAATGGAATTTGTGATTCGCTATGATTTTAAGATTATGCATATTAAATTTTTTAAATACAGATTCTTTAGAAATACTGTAAATCACGAAAAAGCCAGAGCAGCCCCTAAAGTTCTGTTATAAGCTCATATAATATAAAATCACAATCAGGCAAGTTATCGATATTGATATTAATAACTTGTCTGATTGTAATTTTATATTATATAGGTTTGTATAACAGAACTTTGGGGGCTGCCCATCATAAATCGCAAAATCCCACAAGCTAATAGAAATATTATTTTTTTTTAAACTTATTAAAATGGATTAGTAAAATAATAAAAACAATGAAACTGATTTAAACCCGCATTACAAAAAAGGTTCTTTTATTTTTAAAAAGCTTAAAAAGACTAATTATTATTGCAATCATTGTTATATACAACAAAGAAAAAAAAAAATAAGAAAACAACATATATTGTAAAAGCTTTAAGCCTACTAACAATATATACAAAATTTGAACTTTCAATTTTATATTTAATTGTGTATTATCATAAGATCTTACAGACTCTAACCAAAAAATACGATAAAAATTATTATAGTTCTGCATGTACTAAATATAGTACTAGTAAGTATTGTATTCATGTATATACCCAGATCCTTATTATGATATAGACTTTTAGCAAAGCCAAATTTAAAAATGTCAATTGTAAAATGCATTAATTAACAAATTAAAATATTTATTAGAATTGTTATAATAAACCTTAAAATTAAACACATATAAAAAGAGAATCATATCACACTTAATATAGTATACAAAAATGTTTCTGCAAAATTTCTCTAATGATAAATATGAATATTTAGAAGAATCGCAGTTATTACCAAATGAAGAATCTTCCGGATCATTATCTAAAGAGTTACTCTTATTATCTGACAAACAATAGCCTTTATCATTAGATAAAGATCCATTATTATTAGATGATGAACTTTTTTTGGATAAGTCCTCTATAGATAGTAAACCTGTTTCAGATGAAGAATCTCTTTTATTACTAGAAGGTTCATCTAATTCTACTCAAAATACAATTACAGAGATGTTAAAATCATCACAACAAAATATTATAGTTAAAAGGAAAAGTAATAGTAACCTATGAAATAACAATATTAATAAAAAATCTAAACTAGAAAAAAGTTGGGTATAGCATTATATGAGAAAAGACAAACCTGCCAAAATAATTAATTGTCAAGCATGGATCAATGATGATGATAATCTTAAACAATGCATAAGTACTTTTGAAATCACAACAAGCACAACAAATTTAGCTAGCTATCTTCAAACCATATATAGATTAAGTAAAACTAGTCCTTTATTACCTTTAAGTAGCAAAAAAGAAACTGCACAGTTACGGCCTGTTAAATTAGACCCGACACAGTCTACTTTATTAGAATTAGTCAATTGTCAGACACCACTTTCAAATAAAAAACAAAATAGAATTACCTCTAGAATATTAGCATAAATAGTTGATGATATGCAACCTTTCAATGTTTTAGTAAATGAACAATTTCAGGATATCTTATATGAAGCAGAACCACAATTTCAATTTTTGGATAAAGATATAGTTAAGCAAAAGTTATTCAAATCAGTAAATTATTCTAAAAATGGTCTAAAAAATTTAATTAATAACACATTAGAATATTTAGCATTTATTACTGACTTGTGGACTAAAGCTCATACACCCTATATTGGAATTATGGCATACTGGCTTTCTTCAAAATTTAAAATATATAAAGCCTTACTTACAATTAAAAGTTTTCTATACCTGCATATATCTGAATATATTAAAGATTGTTTAAGAAGAGAATTAGTTAAATGGAATTTAAGTGACAAATGTGTAGCAGGCATAACTGACAATGCTAGCTCAATAGTAAAAGCTTTAAAAGATATTGGAATCTTATATATTTGATACACTGCTTATACTATTTAGCTTGGAATTAGAGATGGTTTAAAGTATGCAGCTGATCTAATAAATCATGCCAAAGCTCTAAACTGATTTGTTGCTAGAAAAGACAAATATAGAGAAAAATTATAGTCAATACAACTTGAAATATCTAAAGCAAAAAACCTATTAATCAATAATAAAGATGCTTCAGTTTTGGATCCAATTTCAAATAACGTCGCAACCAGGTGGAATTCCACATATCTCTTACTAAGTTAGCAACTTGTACTTTATAAAGCAATAAAAAGGCTTCAAAAAGATCCTGCAAAAGATAAAAAAAGAGATATTAGGAATAATGCTAAAGCACTTAAAAAGCTACTTCTTGATAATGATAGTCAGCTAGAAATCTAGGAGTTGGTTGAATTGTTAGATCCATTTGTATATGTTACAACTATAGTAGGTGGAGACTATTACTCTACTCTTTTAATGATATTACCATTAGTTAGAATTTTGCAAAAACACTTATATCAAAAAGAAAAAACTCTCACACACTCAATTATTTGTAATGTATATGATGAAATTGAGCTATCATTTGGTAAACGTTGAGAAAAACCTGGGCCAGAAGGATATGTTGCAGCTATGTTGGATCCAAGATTTAAAGACTTAGGTTTTGAACTAGCAAAATTTGAATTAACAAATGAATTAAAACACAGGATGATGGAATATATAAAAAATAATAATTATTCTTTACCTAACAATAATTTATCTACTTCTCTATTAAGCTTACTATTCGAAGAAACTACCCACCAGTTATGCTCTGTTAAAACTAAACTAAAAATTTATTTTGATATGCCTAAAATAGCTAAATATGATCTTTCTAATCCTCTATATAAAAAAAATAATCTACTAACCTTTTGGCATAATAACAAATCAAGTCTTCCTTTAATAGCATGCCAAGTACAACAGTTATTATATATTCTTGGAACTTCTGTTCTATCTGAGTATTTGTTTTCTGATGCTGGAAACACAGTTACTGATAAATGAAACTATCTTCATCCCAACATGGTTTATGATCTGCTTTTTCTAAAAGAAAATCAATACAGTTTTAACTCTTACCCCAATTAAAATAAAATTTCAAAATTTTTAAATAAATAAATTCTTATCTATTATTAAACCAAACAGTATATATTTTACTGTTAGTAGAAAAGTCTGTTAAAAGGTATTGTAAGCAAAATTAAATACGGTTACCAAACAATTGTATGCAATAAAGTTGTCAAGTGTATTGTAAGCAAAATTAAATGTGATTACTAACCTCTATTATTTTGCGAAATAAGAAAATAAGTCATTTTGAGAAAAAAAAATTTTTACTTATAAAATCAGCTAGCCGATTTTAGAAAAAATCAACTGACTGGGTCGAAAAATTGGCTTAGCTAATTTTTTTAATTTTGGCCAGGATTACTATATAGATCTTAATCATTTCTGAGGTTGGTTATATATTAAAAAAAGTTTTTATGTTAAGGCAAAGCTTTATAACAGAAATATATAAGTGTTGTATTTAGTATATAATTTTTTAGTCTTGTATATAGATTTAATAGTATATATTTTTTTATTTCTTTTCTTTTTTGTTTATTTATA